TGTGACCTCTGCAGATCACAATGTCGTGTGAAAATCGGAGATTCTGTAGATTTTAAGAATCTTACCAATTTCAAATAAATATAAATATAACCGATCGAAAATATGAATTAATAGACAATTTTAGAATTCAGAAATTTTCCTCGTTCATCATCACAAAAATCATGGGGTCACATCTTTTTGCAAAGCGCTATAATATGATCGGCTGGCTAATGCGACTAAAGATCACATGATTTAAATAAAAATTTCACGCATCCACTTGTTTGATCTTTATTTAGAAAAAAAATCAAAATTACAAAAACCAAATGTTGTTTTAACCAAAAGACAAATATCTTAAACAAATTAAAATTTTATGGAATTTTTATCAGAAAAGATTGTTAAACTTATAATTAGATTCTTCAAATAGTCAAGTTTTTTTATTTTAAGTAATATAATTCATAACTAATTAATGCCTGCACAATATCGTCAGACTTTCAGATCTCAAGAAATTTAATTGTAGGTATATAAAAATATATTAAGAAAACTAACGTATAAATTCTAAATCTATAGTCAGGTTTTCCATTTTTCCTTTAAGTTTATGAACATGGGATTTAATTGTTCCTCTTTCAGCTGTTACTTTTGTTAATTCCTTGCGTAATTTGTTATAACTTACACTCTTGAGGTTAAAAGTTACAATCTTTTTTTCTTCAGAATTTTGTAATATAACTGTAGCGGCACTTGCTTTTATTTGTTTTTCTGATTTTTCGAGAATATTTTTTTTATTAAATTCGATGCTTGCAGTTATGTCTCCCCTAATTAAAATACTAGAGATAAATCCATTTTTATTTTTATATATATGGGGGACAGTTTTATGTTTAGGCATTTTTAGTTAAGTTATAATATTGTATGAAAATTGAATCTTAGAGATATAAAATTGTATGAAAATGAATCTTGAATAGCAAAGGGTTTAATTTGAAAATATACTGAGGATAAAAAGGGCTCTTTATATATTTATCTGAATTCTTCATTACTTATAATATAAATATAAATAATAATGTTTCTTATATATTGAAATCGTCTAAAGAGTGGGACATATAATAGTCCCACTGTAAAAAAAACATATGCACCGAAAACTAGAATTGAGAGTTTTTTATATTAGAATTATATAAATTGATAAAATATATAATCGGTGTTACAGAAAAAATTATATTATAAACTATACTTTTGTTACAGTATTAAGTCACATGATAACAAAAAAAGAATTAACATGTTTCACGAAGATAATGGTGCCAAATGTATTATTAAAAAAAAATTTTTTTTAATTCACAACTTTATATTATACAAAAAAATAAATTCGGTATATTTTATTATTATTATTTATATTGCATTATAACACAAAGAACAAAGCGCGTTCCAATACGCATACTAAGCCTCAAAAAAATGCTGCGCGTTAATGCACATATGCGAAAATTAGGATTTAAGAAAAATGTAAAAAAAAAATTTCTTTTGAATAAACAAGTTTTTCTTTTATAATTCCCATTTAATTGCATTTCAGAAATACAGAACCATAAAGAACAAAGCGCGTTCTAATACGCGTACTAAGCCTCAAAAATGCTGCGCGATAATGCATCCAGTCTTGAGAAAATCTAAAAACTTCTCTTTTTTGATTCATATAAACAAGTTTTCGTACAATCATTAAAGAAGATTGTTTATGCAGAAATTGGATTTCAAAGAATTTATTTAAAATCGATAAAAGTACCTTTCAGGCTGTGCAGAAATCGCATTCTTTGATAATAAATTGCAAAATGGATTTCTTCAATATCATTTGCTATCTTACAATATTTTTATATTTTTGTTATTTATATTCTATTATCGATTTGTTTATCTATATATCCAAAACTGAATCCTCTCAAGAAGTATTTGATTTAGTAAAGCAAATTGGCACAAACGAAGAAAACAGACTACTTGAAACAAAGACACTTGAATCAAAAAATGAAACGAAAATTGAATCAAAGTCAAGCAATTTCGTAAAGAATCGAAATTTCAAGAATATAAAAAATTTGGAAGAGATTAAAAGAGTTTTAGCAACATTGGAGACATTCGATTCATCATTAACCAAAAACTTCCTTCAATTTTTTAACGATTGCGATATTGAAACTATTCAACTAAATATTGAAAATCTTGAAAACTTTATTCATTACAAATTAAAGCCGCTATTTCAAATAAATCCAATGTGTAAAATTTTATCGATAACAACTTCAAATTTTGAT